CCCCCCCTCAGCTCCCCTGGGGCAGCGCGGGGCTGACAGGACCGACCCCTCCTGTCCCCCGCCCCTTCCCGGGCACCGAGGGGACACGTGTGGCCTGGGGACACCTCTGCCCTCCTCTCCCCCAGGAGGGACGCCAGGGAAAGGGGTGCTGTGGCCCCGGGGCTGCCTCGGAGCAGCACGTCCCCTGTGTCCCACCCGCCTCGGGTGGGCAGCACCCCGGGGGGTGGCTTTGCCGTGGGGACAGGACAGGACAGTGACCGTGGAAAGGGTGTCCCCAGGCTCTGGGGAGATCTGGTTTTATTATCTTTCCAGGATTTCACAGCTCTGAGCAGTCACAGCTGGCACAGCCTGGCACGTGACGTGGTGAGCCCAAACCGTGCCCCACGTGAGAACAACGTCCACTGGGGGGGAACAACATCCAGGGGCTGGAATGGGGCTGGCAGGGGCTGGAATAGGGCTGGGGGTCCCCAGGGGGGGGCTACCTGGATCCAGCCAGGCCAGGACCGTGGAATTCCAGCACCAGCCACCACAGATGCTCCCGGGTCCAAGGGCCACCAGGTTAAGATGCTCCATCCACCTGGGAAAGGTTGGGACTGGCTGGGACACCCCATCCATGGCAGGGCTGGGGGAGCACCCAGAGCACCCCCAGAGGGTGTCTGTGCTGTGGAGCCCCCCTGGGGCGAGCCTGGGAGGGGTATTTTGGGTGCTCCCAAGGCTCTGCCCCTCCTGCCCCTTCCCTGGCTCGGGCAGTGACAGCCAAGGCTGTGGTGGCACCCGGAGCAGCTCGGCTGGGTCAGATCCCAGCCCCACATCCCCTTCCCCGCACCGGGAACCCCCCCAGGGGTCCCTCAGGAGCTCAGGGCGGGGGGTCCTCAGAGCTGGCCCCTCCGAGGTCCCTTCCCTACCTGTGCTGGCTCCTGTTTGCTCCTCAGCTCCAAAGTGTCCTCGGCACCCAACCGGCCCCGAAACCTCCTGATCCTGGAGGGGAGGACAGGGAGCTGCCAGCCCTGCTGCCCCCGAGGGTCCCCTCACCCCGGGGTACCTGCCCTGACGTTGGGGTCCTGTCCCCCTGACCCTGGGGTCCCTGTCCCTCTGACCCTGGGGTCCCTGTGCCACCCCAGGATCCCTGTCCCCTCACCCCAAAGTCTCTGTCCCCTTGACCCCGGGGTCCCTGTGCCACCCTGGGATCCCTGTCCCCTCACCCCAAGGTCCCTGTCCCCTGACCCCAGGGTCCCTGTGCCACCCCGAGGTTCCTGTCCTCCCACCCTGCTCCAACACCGGGGGCCCTGTCCTGATGCCAGGGTTCCTGTCCCACCCTGAGTTCCTTGTCCCTCCACCCCGGGGTCCCTGTCCCATCCTTGGTTCCCTGTCCCCCCCTCTGCCCCAGCCAGGACGTTACCTGGGCCACAACTTCACAGCCAGCAGGCCCAGGGTGGCCACGCAGACGAGGGCCACCAGCAGCCCGGCCAGGATGGTGAAGGTCAGCAGGCGGGTGAGGGCTGTGGGCACATCCCCACAGCAGGGGGTCAGAGCACATGGGACCCCCCAGACCTTGGGGTGCCCCCCAAGGGGTGAAGGGGACCC